CCCACCATTCAAAATAGAAAGACAAGCCCTTGGCAGGTGCAGTGCCAGCTCTCTGGGGCGCCTGCGCACTGCTTGTGCTCTGCGGCAAGCCCAGGCTGCTTCCGCCCCCTTCCATCCTTCCATCCTGCAGCCTGCAGAGCCCACAGTCGCCATAGCAACCTGCGGGCTGCCTGCGCTAGCGGGGGAGGGTGGATGGGTGGATGGGTGGATGGGCTGCCTGCTTGTGGGCTGGGGAGCAGAGTGTGGGTGGAACAGGGTGCTGGGATCCCCGCCCTTGGGCAGGCCCTCTGAAAGGGTTCAGCTTCTGATGAACTCAGGTCTCAGCTAGAGGCTGAGGGCAAGGCTGGAATCTGTGTGCTGACACCTGCCCTGGGCAGTGGCCGGGGAGAAAGCACCGACTCCCTTCCTACCTGTGCTCGCAGCTGGCGGAGGCTGAGCCCGAGGTGGAGGTGGAGGTGGAGGTGTACCGGCGGGACTCCAAGAAGCTGCCAGGCTTGGGGGACCCTGACATTGACTGGGAGGAGAGCGTCTGCCTGAACCTCATCCTCCAGAAGGTAAGGGTCGGCGGGGCGGGGCTCCAGCAGCAGGGCAGGGGGTGGGCGCTGAGGGACAGCCGAGCCCTCCACGCACCCCCTCCTGCTCTCTTCCAGCTGGACTATATGGTGACATGTGCCGTGTGCACGCGCTCTGAGGGGGGCGACATCCACATCCATAAGAAGAAATCCCAGGTGAGCCACCGACCGAGAGCCCCAGGCCTCCCAGCTGCCAGCTCCGCCTGGGAATTGCAGCCCTGCCTGCCCGGGGTTGGTTCTGAAGAGGTGTGTTTTAGACAACATGGTCCACCTGGGTGCAGGTGGGCCTCACTGCGTCCGTATATCTCCTTTCTTTCAGCAAGTGTTTGCGTCCCCTAGTAAACACCCCATGGACAGCAAAGGGGAGGAGTCTAAGATCAGCTACCCCAACATCTTCTTCATGATCGACAGCTTCGAGGAGGTGAGCGTGTCTCCCATCAGCGCTCCCTCCGGCCTCGCCCCCTTGCAGAAAGGCGGTGGAGGGTGGGAAGGGCTAGAAGCAGATGGGTCTGGACTCCTACCGACGTGGCCCCCACTCTTCCTGGTGTTGGATGAGGAGCAAGGGTACCCCCCAGCTTGGAGCCTCAGTTCTCCCACCTGTAAAATCGTGCTCATCTGTCCTATTACCCTCAGGGTTGGAGGTCAAAGGGGCGCCTGAATGGGAGACGGCACTAAAGGCCTACGGCAGTGCTGCCCTGCAGGAGGGTTGTTAGTATCGCCACAAAACTAAACAAGTGCCTCCACCCCGCGCTGCTCCAGCCTGGGACCCTGGGGGTCAGGGGCAGGGCTTTGGGAGTCATCCAGCCACGCGTCTGTTTTAAGGTTGGGCAAAGGGTGACTCGCCCAGGGAAGCAGGTGCTGGGGAGAACCAGGCTGTGTCCCACTCCTGACCGGCACAGCACCTGCCCAGCCAGTCCCCCCCCGTCCCCCCCCCTGGCCTCTGAGGAGGAGGGTGGCTTCCAGCGCCTCCTGGATTTGATTGTATCTTTTTTCTTTTTTTTGAGATAGAGTAGAAGGGAGGGAGGAAAGGGGAGAGAGAAAGAGAAAAAAAATCGATGTGAGAGAGAGACATAGATTGGTTGCTTCCCGCAGGTGCCCTGACTGGGGTCAGGGATGTGCCCTTGACCAGGAATCAGACCCACAACCCTTGAGTGTGCAGGCCGACGCTCTATCGATTGAGCCACACCAGCCAGAGCTTGATGGTATCTTGAAGCATCTTAGGCTCAGGAGGCTAAGTGCCCCTGGAGGCTCACACAACTCGTTCATCCAAGGAGCTGAGATTTGAACCCAAGTCTGTGTGGCCTCAGAACTCGGGGTCACTCTGTGCCTGCATAGAAGCCGAGAAGTTCAGGGCGGGGCGGGGTGGGAGGGGCTGGTCCCCCATGGCCGGAGCGGGGAGATCCTGGATCCTGGGCCAGACAGTCCTCTAACTGCCTAACTTCTTAGCCTGGAGGTGTGATGAGGGCCAGGAGTCCTTCCCCTTCCCTCCCAGAGTCACAGGCACAGGCACCCTCTGCTGGACGCTGCCCCTGCCAGTTAGGCTGTACTGGGTCGGCGGAGGGTGGCAGAGCTGGGTGGCCACAGGTTTCTCATCTGTGCCTCAGTGTTCTCATCTGCTAAATGGGAGTTTTTGGGGCGAGTGAGGGGTGGGTGGTGAGCAGCTGACAGTTGACGTCTTCTCTCCGCTTGCTCCCACCCCAGGTGTTCAGCGACATGACTGTGGGGGAAGGAGAGATGGTCTGTGTGGAGCTGGTGGCCAGTGACAAAACCAACATGTTCCAAGGGGTCATCTTCCAGGGCTCCATCCGCTACGAGGCGCTCAAGAAGGTGTACGACAACCGGGTGAGCGCGGGTGGCCCGGGCCCAGCCCCTCCGAGCCGCCCTCCTCAGAGTACCTGCGCACCCAGCCCCACTAAGGTGGCTCAGGGCCAGCGCTCTGTGACCTTCCCAGGCCACCCCCAGCAGGACACTCCCAGGGCCGGCCCTGACTCACCTGAGGGACAAGAGCCAGGCTCTCTCCGGAGCTGGGCGCCACCCTGAGGCTCTCCTCCTTGGAGCCTGGGGGTTGTGCTGGTGGGGGGTGGGGACGGGCTCGGGTTCTGGGGCTGCAGCTCTGTTCCCAGCCGGGCCCTGGGCCTGCTGGGCGTAGGCTCACCGGCAGTGAGGGGGATGTCAGCCAGGGACCCCATGTGTGCAGCACTGCCCTGCCTGCTGGGGCCCTGCTCCGGGAGGGTGACTGTCCGCCCACCAGCCTGGCTCAGCCTTTTCCCACCTGCCCACAGGTGAGCGTGGCCGCCCGCATGGCGCAGAAGATGTCATTTGGCTTCTACAAGTACAACAACATGGAGTTCGTGCGCATGAAGGGGCCCCAGGGCAAGGGCCACGCGGAGATGGCCGTCAGCCGTGTGTCCACTGGTGACACGTCCCCCTGCGGGACTGAAGAGGACTCCAGCCCGGCTTCGCCCATGCACGAGCGGGTAAGGGCTGCCCCCTCGGGCAGGGCTTCCTGTCCCTTGATTCTGCTTCCCACCGTCTCCCTGATCCTTACAGCCCCAGGGGAGGTAGGTATTGTCCCCACTCTCTGGGGAGGAGGCTGAGGTTCAGAGAGAGCAAGTCACTTGCCCAGGGTCACACAGCAGGTTAGTGCCCGGGCCAGAGCCCTTTCTGCTCCCCTGAGCTGTCAGTGCAGCCAGGCTGTTTACCTTGCGCTGGCGCCTGCCTCAGTGGAGCTGCTGGGCGAGCGCAGGCGGGTGACAGGCCTTCCCTGTGAGAGAGATGGGGACAGTGAGGCGCTGGCCTCCGTCCTGTTCCCTGAGCAGCAGCTCTGCTCTTTGCCCACCAGGTGTCTCCCAGGTGAGCAGCTGCTCAGCCCCCTGCACCCCGCAGGCAGGAGGGAGCTTTCCTGTCCGTGGACCTGGGAACCCCGGGTCGCATGACTCTGGTGTGACAGCACAGCCTTGCAGCCCTGCCATTTCCAGGCCACCATCCTTCCCCGGGGTGGGGACCCAGGTCGGCGGCGGCTGTACTCGGCCTTCAGTGGGGCTCAGGGAGGAGGAAGTCTCCCCCCCAGCCCACTGGCCGCTCTGCCGGCTTGGGTATCTCGGGGCTGCTCAGAGTGGCTCCCGGGGTCTTGGAAGGAGACAGGCATGTGAGCACAGTGGGCAGGAGGCAGCCCTGCTCAGCGCATCGCCAGGAGGGGCTGGGGGAGACTGGGCTGGAGTCTGGGCGCTGCTGCTCGCCGCCTGGGACAAGTCTCTCTTCTCCCTGAGCCTCTGCGCTCACCCAGAAATGGGGTGGCACACCGGCTCCCTGCGGTGTTGGGAGGCTCCGAGGAGCCGCTGCACCTCAAGCACCTGCACAGGGCTTGGCCCGCAGGTGTCCAGGGAGCAGCCACTGTAGTGACTTTGCTGGTGACCCGCTTGGGAGGTGACTCTTAAGAATGTGAATAACGCGCTATGTGCTGAGTGCGGGAGAGTGTTTGCCGTACTTTTAATCTGTCTAATGATGACAACCAGGCGTATCTCCAAGAGGCCAGAGGTCATTTTCTTTAGTGTCTTTATACCTTTCCTGTGTATCTTCTGCAATGAATGTGTTTTATAAGCAGAACAAAATAAACGGTACTTTTGTAAGGAGGGTGAGAATCCCAAGCGGGGGCCTCTCTTCGCAGGGTGGTCCCGGGGTCACGGGGAGGGACTTGCCAGGGCCACACAGCTGTGAGTGGCAGGGCCTGACCTCCTGGGGACCTTCCAGGCCCCGCCACCTCTGTGCTCACTGTTGCTTACCCTCCTTTTCCAGGGGGGTCATTTGTAACCAGCGTATGACAAATGCAGATTCTGTGTGTATTGTGGTTTCTGGTGTTTGTTTTTTATCTTTTAAAACCTTCCCTGACTTGTGGGAGGACCACCTGGAGCCAGCGGCCGCCGGGACTTTGGTGGACGTCAGAGCCATGATGAAGAGGCTGACGGGGCTCCGGAAGTCTCGGTCCCAGCTCACCTTGTTCCTCAGATTCTTGTTTGCATGGGGAGGAGGGAGGAGAGGGGCCACGTTCCCTCTGCCTGGAACGCCCTTCCCCCCCTTCTTCACCTGGCGAACTCCTACTCGTCCTTCAAGACCCGGCTCCAGCGGCATCTCCTCCAGGAAGCCTTCCCTGCTTTCTCGGGCTTTTGCCTCTGTGCTCCCCTGTATTCCGTGCCTCTCTTTATGTGTCTCAGCAACCAACATGCAGTCTGTTGTTGTTCCTCTTTGAGTCTGTTGCCCCCAGCAGACTGTGAGCTCCTTGAGGGCAGGGACCAGTGTCATGTGCCTGTCTGTGCTTAGTGCTGCGTCCGCTGGGCCCCAAGCAGGTGTGGAGAATGTTTGGTGAACTGAACAGTGTGTTTAGAAGAGAGGAGAGGAGGGGATGGAAGCATGGACCACTTAGCCATAGCAAGCGTGTGGAAGAATGCTGGGGGGATGGGGACGGGGACATGTTAGCCAAGAAATGAGGGCGGAAGACCTGAGTTGCAATCCGTTTTGCCATCGTCCTGCCGGATGATGTGAAAGTTCACATTGGACGAGTTAAATTTGCTGTCCACCTTCGAGTCCTCACTTGCCCGAGGGGTTACTGCGGGTCCTATCCCGTGGAAGTTCTGTGGGTTCAGTACTGTGGCAGCTGCCTGAGTAGCGTTAGTAGCCAGTCTTGGCACTAACCCAGCCCCTGCCAGTGTGTGAGGGCAGAGCTGGTGGCCAGGCCGTCCTGCTGGCCCCTGAGCTGAAACCATGTCCTAGTGCCCACGCAGCCCGCAGCAGGTGGGCTCGGTGCCACAGCCGGGTCCCCTCCTCAGCCAGTGCTCCCATGGGGAGCTCTGTGTCGGGTTCTTTGAGGCAGGTGAGTGGCTTTGGGATCCCCGCAGGTTGGTGGCCGCTCTGTGACTACGGCTCTTTGTCCCCAGATGACCTCCTTCAGTACGCCCCCCACCCCGGAGCGGAACAACCGGCCCACCTTCTTCTCCCCGTCTCTCAAGCGGAAGGTGCCCCGGAACCGCATCGCCGAGATGAAGAAGTCTCACTCGGCCAACGACAGCGAGGAGTTCTTCCGAGAGGACGATGGTGCAGGTGACCAGCTCCTGATGCCTCTCGGTTCACTCACTCATTCATTCATTCATTCATTCCTCCTAGAGAGGGTGCCTGTCCGGGGGGAGGTGCTGAACAGACAGGCCCCTGCCGCGAGGCGCGCCCCCTCCAGTGTGTCTGTTCAGAACGTGCGGGCCGAGCGGCAGTCGCAGTGTTAGGGGTTCGTACACTTACAGATGCCGATGGTCTGATTGTCCTCACAGGGGCCGGACGTGCGTGCCGAGGGAATGGGCTCTGGTTTGTTCATGCATTTGGTGACTTGGTCTGTTTTACCCCCTGCGCTGTCTTTGGCCACTCAGCCTTGCTCTAGAGTCGGGTGGGGAACCTTTTTTCTGCTGGGGCCATGTGGATATTTGTGACATCATTCGCGGGCCATGCAAATGCATCCACGTAAGCGCTAGCCTGCAGAAAAAGGAAACTAGCCCGCGATATGGGCCAGACATTTCCTTAACGCGCCCCTACTGCCTTGGCAAGGCCAGCCCAAGTGACTCTGCGGGCGGTACCCAGACGTTCCCACCCGGCTCCAGTGGGGCCCGCAGGGTCCAGGCCTGCCGCTCTCCGGCCTCCGCAGCCTCCTGCCTGCCTGGGCAGAGGCCCTGGGTCTGGCCCACACCATTGCAGTCCCTCCCAGCACACCTGTGCCTCCGTGGTGTCGCTCCCGCCATCAGTAATCGTGCAGCCAGAGGGGCAGTCATGTCGCCATGGAGCCTAGGGGCCTGGGGAGCCAGTGGAGGGCTGTAAGCCAGGGATCCACAAAGTCCAATTGGAATATTCAGAATCCCACTCCGCGGTCCATGTGGAGAATGGACTCGAGGAGGGGGGCCGGCTAACAGGAGCCGGGGGGAGTTTCAGCTCAACTCCGTGCTGGGAGGCCCCAAGTGCAAGTGCGAGTGCGAGTGCGTCCTGCACCATGGCCCTCGGACCAGCGGCCCCAATGGCAGGGCAGGAACGCCAGGCGTGTCTGCTGGACGAGTGGCTGGACGGCAGGACGGGAGCTGGGGCGTTGGTGTTGAGTGGTCCCGCCCCCCAGACCCAGAGACTCCAGCACTGGCCTTGACCGCCCTGTGAGCTCGGCAGTGCCCTCATCTCGGATCAGACCCACGCCTGTAGGGAAGCATGAACAAACACCCACCTGCCTCCCTGGTGACGATGCCGAGTCATCCCAGCCTCGCCCCGGGTCCTGCAGGCTGGTGGCACCTAGTTCCAGTGGCAGGGCCACAGGGAAGCAGAGGCGTGGCAGTGTGCCGGGTGCATGACCCCACGGAGGAGACTCCAGACAGAGAAGGGAGTGGGGGGAGCTTGGAGGGGCGGGTGCGGCCCTGACGGATGGGTGGGCAGAGGGCAGGCGGGGGCAGAGGTCGCAGGCCAGGGTAATAAAGCGCCCGCAGGGGGCACAGCGGGGCGGGAAGGAGTCACCCCTGACCCAGCCTCCTGCCCTCCAGCTGACCTGCACAACGCCACCAACCTGCGGTCCCGGTCCCTGTCTGGCACGGGGCGGTCCCTGGTCGGGTCCTGGCTGAAGCTGAACAGAGCGGATGGAAACTTCCTTCTCTATGCACACTTAACCTATGTCACCTTGCCGCTGCATCGGATCTTAACAGGTAGCGTCTGCTGTGGAAAACGGGCGTCACTGCTTTGTAGCCACCCTGACTCCCGGGCCCCAGGTTCCTGCGGCCAGTTCAGGGGTGACCAACCCTGTCCCATCATTCCCAGTCAGGCCCCTGTTCACGCTTGCTGCGGGGCCTCTGGGAGAGGCGGCCCTGTCCCACTGACGGGGCCTGGCTCCACCCCGAGTCCCTGTCCGTGCCACGGGGCCTCCAGCACTGCAGCCTGCGAGGCTGGGAGAGGGAATCCTGGGAGTTGCGTGGTGTGGCCTTGCGTCCTGACCTCCTCGTCCTGTCCTTCCTCACCTCCCCCCAGACATCCTGGAAGTTCGGCAGAAGCCCATCCTGATGACCTAGCCGTGCACGGAGCCCCCGGCCCGGCCCTGGAAGTACTGCCAAGTGCCTACCTGTCCACCGCCACCGGGGTCTCTGTGACAGCCCAGTGCCGGAGCCGGAGCCAGGCGGGCCACTCCACCCCTGGGCCAGGGCCGACTCCATGAACACCAGCCCAAACTGAAGTGCCTCTTCCTCCTCCCCCGCTGGCTCTGCTCCTGCCCTGTGCCCACCCCCATCGCCCCGGCCCGTCTCTGGAGAGCCCTCTGCACCCACAGACAACCACGGACGCCAGGAGGCCATCGAGAGAGCGAAGGAGCAGCAGCGTCCAGTGTCCAGACCCGCCGACCCCAGGTGCTCGTCCCGCTCAACAGCAGGCAGGACCGTCCAGCTGGGGCACCCCGCGTGCCCACTGTCTGCACCTCTTAAGGAAGCGTTTACGATTTTGCAGTTCCGTGCCAATGAACCTCAGCGTCCGCGTTGGTCCCAACATGTCTGTCCTCCCTAGCGTGGTCCTAAAGGGGGCACCCTGGGGAGATGGGAGCACAGCTGTTGGATGGTGTGGCCCTGGGCGGGAACATGTCACCCCATACCCGGTTCCAGGAAGGCCTCGAGCTCAGCAGACAGGCCCTGATCCCGCCAGAATGGCCTTCGCTTCCAGCCAAAGAGCACCGCCCGCACACCTCCAACCGGGAGACATCCCGCTCCAGGCCTCGGCGCTGAGCCCAGACCGTGGACTGAGGACAGGGGAGGGCTCGGGGCCAGACGGGAGGGTCGGGGTGGGTGGCGTTGGCAGGCTCCTAGGAAGGCTCATACTCCTTGCGCTGGGAGGGGCTGGGGTTTCATCTCTGGTTTTCTAGAGATTACCTCCCTTGCCTGAGTGTGCTGGTCCCATTTCTCAGACCAACGCACTGAGGCGAAGGGGAATTGGCTTCTATGCGGCCGGTATGGTCAGGTGTGGGTGGCACAGGAGCCCCGGGCTTGCCTGTGGTCTGGTGCCAGCCAGGATCTCCGCCTGTGAGGATGCACGTGCCCTTCTCAAAGCCGAGCCCTCAGCAGGAGGCCTGGTCAGCCCCCTGGGAGCGGTCGCTGGTCTCTGTTGCTTCGTGGCTGGGTCTGAAGTCCCTGGAAATACCTGAGGGATCCTGCTGTGCATTAGAGGACCCCTTGGGGGGGCAGGATAGGAATTGAGGGGCTTGTTCCGTCTGTTTTTATTCTGTGCTCCAAGGGTTTGCACTGGGCTCCGGGACAGGGACTATGGGGCTTTCTCTAGATTTTGTATGCTGTTATTAAAAGCGAGCTGTTGCATTTCATTCTGCCTCAGTTTGCCCACCTGTAAAATGGGGCTGATACCACCTACCTCACTGACGTCTCCAAGTTCCAGTACACAACTGGGTCAGGGTGCAATCGCCAGCCATTCTGCACCACTGGGGTCAGGGGTCGGAGTCTGGCTGCGAATCTCCCTCTCCCCTGTCCTCGTCACCCCCTCCCCACCCTGAAGACGTTGGATGGGGTTGAGTTTGAACATTCTGGTGTTCTCTGCCGCCCAGCTTGTGCTCAGCGGTGCCCCGCTCCGCACAATTTCGAGTTCCGAAGCAGCGTCTGAAGCAGGGTCGCAGGGCAGGCCAGAGCGGGAGCCGAGCCGAGCCTCGGAGTGAGCCCACGTGGCCCAGGGCTCCAGGCGCCGAGGGTTGTTGGGAGGCCGATCGCAGGCCCGAGCTTGGGTCCCAGGTGGCTCTGCAGTGTCCGTTCTCTCCTGGTCATCTGGGGTCTGAAGACTGGAACTCGGTTCTTGGGAGAAACGGTCCTGACGTAGCTCCCTTGGGGGGGGATGAGCTAGTTCAGCACGTGCAGGAGGCAGGGTCCCCCCGTCCTCAGAGGTGGGGAGCCCCAGAAGGTTCCCCGCTGAAGCCAGCGGTTGGCCCAGCTCCAAGGCGTGGCCACTGCTCCTGGTTGGGCCGGCGAGTCAGACTCCTGGGGACCTCGCGGGGCGCTGGGGGCCAGAGCAGTAACGGGAAGACGCCAGGGAACTCAGACACTTGCTGGCAGCGGGGTCACGTGCTGGCTGGGCTCCGAGAGCTCGCCCCGCGTGTGCAGCCCTGGAACAGCACTCGGCGGTGGCTGTTCTGCATCCAGCACGCAGGCAGCGCCTGCACGTCGTGTCATTGTCCCATCTTACCGACGAGGAAGCCGCCGGAGGTGAAGTGACCGCCCAAGATTGACCGCAAGCATGGCAGGCAGGAGGCCACCGCGGCTTCGCCCCGTTCGCACTGAGCCCTCACACCGCTGCCCAGGACAGATGGACGGATGTTGGGTGGAGCTGACCTTTGTCTTTAAATCCCAAAGGTCCTGTGATACTGGATTGAAAACCTGCTCCGAGGTGCTTGATGACTGCGGTGAGCTGTTACGCCGAGGTCTGATTTTTCCAAGTGACAAATGGCATCAGTAACCAGTAACAGGAACAAGTGACAGGACCAGAACCCGTCTCCATGGGTCTTGGTATGGGTCCATCTTTACTTGTAAGGCCAGCTTTAATTTTCTGGGGACACGCCTATCGCGTGTTATGCAGGGATGACGTGTGCGTAAACTTCTTGAATGGGAATTGGAATCAAAAGTCCAGTTTTTCTTTGAAGAAACCTACGTGTCACATTAATCAAGCCCACAACCCGGGCATGTGCCCTGACCGGGAATTGAACTGGCAACCTTTCAGTGCATGGGACATGCCTAGCCAACTGAGCCACCCTGGCCGGGGCTAGTTAGTAGGCATTTTAAGAATGAAATAAAAGATTTTTTCCATTAAAACACATTCCACGGGGTAGTCCCTATGCAGTTGGTATATTCTAATGACTTGAAAAATCTATTTGACACTGTTATAATATGGTGGTTTTAAATCGGCCAAAATCCTTTACAGGCTTACATATTACAAGTCTGCTAGCTTTTTAATGAGACTTAATAGGTTTCATACATACATACAAGTTGTCTCAAAAAATGTATACACACTTGAAATAATTTATTCATTCCAGTGGGTTAAACCTGAAAAGAAACATGAGCTAGCTAGCAGCTGATGAAATGTGTGTACATTTTGGGGACACACACACACACACACACACATATATTTCAGTTTTCCAGTTTAGCCAAAATTTAGTTTTATATTCAGTTTCATAAACCAGTATCTGTTGACATGACATTGACTTCCTGCTCAGGCTTTCTCTCGTCTTGGAACCAGAAAACAAACTTCCCTTTAAAAACCCACCTAGTAGGACACAGCCCGAGACACGACAATGCGGTGCTGGCTGCCCTGCCCTGGAGCTCGCGCCGCCTTCGCAGCGTCTGCGGCCGCCCTCCAGCAGCTGTGCTCTTGTCAAGCAGCCGCAGTGCCAGCTCCTCAGAGACCAAGACGGAGGCGGCCTGGGAGGGGAGGAAGGTGCGTGCTGTCACTTCCTCTTCCCTTTCCCTATGGACTTGGCATGGACTTGACCCTCATGGAGAGAAGCCTCCTGCCCTGACTCGGCCCTGGAGAACTTGGAGCACCACACGCAGAAGCCAAATCACTGACCACCGAGTGGCCTGGGGTCGGGCCGAGTTCTGCAGGTAGAGCCTCGGAAGGGGAGGAAGCCAGACACTAGGAAGCGCTTAGAGCCGCAGCCGCCTGGGGCCCAGCAGGCCCCAAACCCGCTGAGTGTAGGTCGCACCGCCCTCACCTTCCTCGCCCTTTGGGCCTCACTGCACAGAAGGTGGGGCGATGTGGGTGTGAATCCTACCTCCTGTGCTTTCCAAACAAGTTCTCTGCTGAGACCCACAGGAAACCTGTGGAGATTTTAACTTTGAAGCCGTAACTAAAGTGATTTCTGCAAAAGCAGCTTGGCGACACGCACTGAACACCTTCAGGTCGGATTGTCAGCGAGTTTCCATCGTGATCAGCGGCTTCCGGTCAGCGGCGTCCGGTCAGCGGCGTCCGATTCCGCGGGAGCCCCGTCTAAGCCGTGCTCGCGTGGCTCTCGGCTGTGCTCACGAGGCTGCGTTCCTCTTGGAAGTTGGTTGCATGGTGACTATTACGTTTATTTTTTCTCCGTGTCTTCCTCTACCGAACTTGTAACTAGTTATTGTTTTGTCCACGAGGGCATTTCAGGTGAGACGCAGCTATTACAGCAATGTGGAAACAGTGATGGAACCTTCTTTTGCCCCCCAAACGTTTCTTACTGTTTGGAGTCCTGACACAAGCTGCATTTTTGACCTGTTGCCGGGGACTGACAGAAACCACCCCGTGCCCTAACCGGTTTGGCTCGGTGGATAGTCGGCCTGCGGACTGAAGGGTCCCAGGTTCGATTCCGGTCAAGGGCATGTACCTTGGTTGCGGGCACATCCCCAGTAGGAGGTGTGCAGGAGGCAGCTGATTGATGTTTCTCTCTCATCGATGTTTCTAACTCTCTATCCCTCTCCCTTCCTCTCTGTAAAAAACCAATAAAATATATTTTTTAAAAAAGAAAAAGAAACCACCCCCTGCAGGGCCTCGGCTGTCCTCGGGTCCGCCAGGGGTCAGCCGCCTCTGTGGTTGAGTCAGATGCTGGGTTTGCAAAATTAAGTCCAAGAGCTGCATCTCAGCCTCGGCGCCCAGCCCCGGGAAGCAGGACAGCCTCGCGTGTGCTGTCAAGTTTCCGGCTGCGCCTCCTCACCAGCCCCGGAAGTGGCGGTTTCGCACCAGCCCCCTGGTCTCGTGGAAGCTGGTCTTTGGCCACCGGCTCTCTGTTGCCTTGCTCTGCGATTATTCAAGCTGACACTGAGCACGTGGCCACGTTTCGCTAACTGCAGGAGCCTGTTTATTCCAAGTTCATCATGGGTGGAAGCAGCCTGAGTCGTTCTCACACAAGGGGCTCTCTTTCCCTTTCCATGGTCAGACAAAGGCTGTCACGATGCCATGGGTGTACATAAGGCCTAAGACACTGCAGAAAGTTCTAGACTAGGAAAAGGGGGTCTGAGGCACACACACTAGAAATAGTAAGGCAGCACATCCAGGTGACACCTGGGAACTGCTAGGAGCAGCTGAGCCGGAACTGCACCGGCATCACCTGGGCAGACTACAAGACGGTGGTTACGGAAGAGGCAGCTCGGTGGGTTAAAACGACGCCCTCGCCACACAGATCAAACCTGGTAAATAATTAGGTCCCTTTAAGCAGTCACCTGACAACGTTCAGCTGGAGAAAGTCTCCCCGGGAAGCTCCCTGGAAGGACCTCTTTGCCATGTATCGCCGACTCTGGATCCCTCTCGGTAAATGCTGACCTAGATGGACTTCCAGGAACCAGTCATGCCCCTGCCTAGAAAACACCGTAACGAGGGGAAACCTTTGGGAATGTTACACTGGGAGGAGGGGAACGTGAAATGGCCCATCCGACCCCATGGCCGTTGTATATAGACTAGACGTGGTGATGTGTAAACGCATTGTACTCTGTGCTTGGTTGGTAAAACAACAGGGCCCTGGGAAACTCGTGTGAGGAAGGAAGGTCTTTGTTTTGGGGATGATAACGGGATGTCTTGTCTTTTGCCTACAGCCTTGTGTTGAATTCCCTCCCCACTTGGCCTCCACATGAGCTAACAGGTTTAACAAGTTCTCTCTCCCCTGTATGTGGGTTATGGTCTTTCATCTTGGAATCTAACTTGAATAAAACCATCAGATTGCTGTTTGAAATAACCATGGTTGTTAAGTGAACTTTAATGATTATATTTTGGGTAAACAATTCAATTACAGAAACCAACCCAGTGGAGCCCTTTGATGAGCCGTGCGGGTCTGGCCCCTCCTGCTTCAAGCTGCATCCAACCCTGTGGGCCGTTGTCTCATCCTGGGCTGGGCTTCCTTGGGAAGCAAAATCGCCAGCCACCAAAGTTCACGTGTGACCTGTACCAGGGCTGCCATAGCTCTGCCAGTCCCCCCGCTGGAATATGCCCGAAGGGTGTGCCATAGGTTATCTTCAAACACATCACGAGGGAGCACAGATGTAGCCCAGGGTTCTCAAATCGGAGCCTGTATCAGAACCACTTATTAAAACCCAGAAAATATTCTGGAATTAGCTGATGTGATGGTTGCATAGCTCTGTGAATATACTACACACGGCTAAACTGTACACTGAGAGTGGATTTTATAGATGCGAGTTACATCAACAGGAGACAAGCTGGCCCCCGCCCGGCTCTGACTCTGGGTCCCCAGGTGTCTGAGGCCCTCGGGGCAGCTGAGCACCCAGGGCCACACTAGAGACCGCTGTCCTGCCCAGCCCTCAGCCGAGAGCCAGCACCGTCCCCGGGAGCTGTTGCGGGTTCAGGGAAAGCACTGACGGGCCCGTCAGTCTTGGCAGTTTTCTTTCCCAGGGCACATCTCCAGACCGGCCAAGTGCTGAGCAACTCCGGAGGCTGGAAAAGACAAGAGCCCGACTCCAAATACTAGTCTTGTCAATGCCTTAATAGTGATTTTCTAAAGCACTGAAAATCTACAGTTCCATAAACTCAAAACATTACTTTTTTTTTTATCATTTTGATCCTGTTTTAAAATGTCCTGAAGAGCTCGGATTTTTTGACTGAGACGGATCTGAACACGGATCCCCGCTCCACTGGCTCATCTGCGAGAAACTGAAGCTGCCTGAACTCGTTTCTTTGGAAACGCACCCAGGCCAAGTGCGGGAGGCCTGCTGTGAGGACTAGGCCAGGTGCACGGAGAAGGCCGGGCACAGCTCCCATAGCAGCCCCAGAGCTACTCCAGGCCTCGTGGGAGTGGCCTCGGGCCTGGTAACTTCCGTCTCCCTCCAAGCAGGAGGTTCTGGGTGGGGCTCTGCAGGCACCCCCAGCTCTGCAGCACCCCCCCCCCCGCCCCCCCGCGCTGCAACCCCTCTGCTCCCGTGCCCGGCATTAGTGCCAGGTGCGTCGAGAAGGAACATGGAATGTCAAACACGGATGTTGTTTCCTCTCCATTTATTCACATTTCGTGGATTGTTACAAGTCCTCAATGGGATCATTCAAAAACTAACACAAACGGATTACATGGGCCGACAATTCAAGTATTTAAAAACGTTTCCTACTTAAAATAGAAAGCAAACACTGTATCCACCTGATTGCTAGGAAGGAAGCTTTCATCTCCGTTACAATTGGTCTGGGAAAGCCTCCCGTCCAAGGCCAAGTACTTCCCAGCGCCTTGTGCTCAGCACGGGGCTGAGACCAGTTTGCCAAGAGTCTCCCTGTCCCTGCAGGCAGCACAGGACAACCCCGTTTCTCCTCGAAAGCTTGTCCATTTCTCACTTTCAGAAGGAGAATGGACACGGGGCTGGGAGCCGCTTGGTGTATGAAGCCTCGAGTGCACTGCGCTTGCATGTGGGCTGTTCCAGAATGACTGACAGATGCCCCCAAACACACCCCCATCTTTCTCAGTGAGCACTGGTCTGAACTAAGAGCAAGATGCGATAGTAGGTAGGTATTCTGGCATGCAGCGCATCAAAAGTAGGATCTGGAGTAAAGTTGTAAAACGGCCATCCTTTTAAAGAAAACCAGTTCCTAAACAGTCGGACTCGTTCTTCCCAGGAAACAACCTAAACTTCTTTAAAGCCTGGACGCTCCCGGCCGGTGTGGCTCAGTGGTTGCGTGTGGACCCATGAACCAAGAGATCACAGTATTTTTGCTGGTCAGGGCATGTGCCTGGGTTTTGGGCTTGATACTCAATCAGTGATTTTCTATTACCATTGATGTTTCTATCTCTCTCCCTCTCCCTTCCTCTCTCTGAAATTAAAAAACACCTGGACACACATCTTCCGTCTGTAAGTCTAACAGAAGGAGCCCGCAGCGGTGTTTCGCCTACTGGGGAGGCTCAAAAGGTTGAGAAGGACACACCAGTGTGGAAAAGGCCGCTGGGATGCTCAGTATTTGTCAAGATGCAACAATACCTGATTCAGAACGAAAGATATACACACTAACTGTAGGCCACATACATAATACACTTTATAGGATCTTAAAGCAAAACTGAACATTTCAGTCCACATTCAAACATTTTAAAGACTCATTTCTAACACTTTGTTAAGGATGGGCATGACCGCACGGGGAGGGTGTGGCTGTCCCGCAATGGGGAGGAAAGGCCAGCCTCCCCAGGCCACAGGCGAGGAGGTCGGGGTACAGTGAAATCCGCACGTTCCCAGGCGCCGGTACCCAGCACCTATTTAAAGTGGAGACCAACAAGTTCCTGAAGCGTAAGAATTGTAAGAAAATATCACATTTTGAGTTATGGTACACACATCACACTTTTCCCTGTAATTTTCACTTTAACAGTGAGTCTTAGCAGCAAGAATTTGCTGGGAATGTTAGGAGAGAAGCACACATATCCACCACTGGTTTGAAAGACGTAAGCGAACCACCTTCACAGGTGTTCCCGCGGCCCTGCCGTGGCGCATCTCGCCAGTCACACCAAAGCTAACGATTAAAATTATGATCCCAACTTAAAAAAAAAAAAAAGCTAACAACGATGCACCATGACCACCTGTTCCCTGCTGACTCGGCTGTTCCGGGCGGGGCTGTACTTCCTCATCTTGACAGCGGGACACACAGAGAGCCTATGTGCCCGGGGCAGGGGCAGGGGCAGGGCCACTCACAGCATCCATAATAAACAGCTTGTTTATTATCAATCATCTGTAACCAGAGCACATGAATAATCTCAATTCTAAGCAGTAAATGCAAAAACCACTGTTGCTTCTGCCTGGGTCGCAGGAGACGAGCTGGCCCACACCCATCACAGCAAGCACGCCTGTCTGCGCGTTCATCCCGTCACCCTGGCCGATGCGCCCGTGCAGTTAACAAACAGAGCAGTGCAGGAATCTCATGGCAAACATTGGTCCAGCCACCTGGCCTCCAATATTTATTCTATTTGATCATGTTTCCCCGCCCCCTTTACATCTAAAAATTGTAGCTTGTTTTTTTAAAAAACTACGCTAGCTCCAATTATTTGACTCCTCTTTTCTAAGTCAGAAGATGTGCTGAAGGTCAGAGCACACAGTGTGAGCCCTCAGGCACCAACCGAGCCTTAAACAAGTTCGCCTGATGCCGGCGCTAACCAGTCAGCAACACCGGCATGTCAACCTCCAAAGCCCGTCTCTCACATGCTGTCTGAGGGAAGCTGGTGTGAGCTGCCCGACAGCCGTGGGGAAGCAGCGTGGCACGCCTGTGCCAATGGCACCCCCCTCCCCGGGGGCACCCTGAACAACCTCACTCAGAAAGGAACTGGAACTTGATGGGAATATGGAATATCCCGGCGTCCAAGGTAAAGGCAGCATTTACACACACGCTTTCCCCCGCTTTCCTGGTGGGTTCCTAGGGCGTAAGCAGTAGGTGGTTGTAGACCCGCAGGGCTCGCGTGGTACAAGCACATTCACTTTCTGCTGTAGGATGATTTTCAAAGTATAAGTGACCAAATTTGTGCTTTTAAATCTCATCCCTGGCAACCCCCCTTAACCATGTGTCATGAGGGGACACAGAAGTAACAGCATCTCATGAATCACACTCCACAACTAAAGAACAGTCCTTGTTTCCTGTAAAAAGAAAAGCAGTTCTGGGTCCTGCCCAGCAGCCTGCAGGGGCAAGGCCACGTCTGCTGAGCAGCCCGGCAGAGGGTGACCTTCAGGACCCGCGCTGCAGCTCTAGAAGAACACTTAAAGCAAGCACACCCCCGCCAGCAGGGCAGCGCTTCACCTGGGAGGGGCGCTGTCCCCCCGGCCCAGCCTCGCCCAGTGGGCGGGAGGGTAGGGCCAGGCTCCTCTGAACACCCACCCTCTTGAGCCTCGCCCAAACCCACGGGTGGGAAAAGCTTTGGGAAATCGATCACTACCCTGATTTCAGTCCATTAAGAAATCACTTGTGGCTAATTTAATAAATGAACATTAAAAATACCAAAATTTCTTTCAAATGTAGTTTACACATTAGACAGTTCTTAACACTAAACAGTAAAGGTTTATTGGCCATATTAATCTTGCTCACAGGCTGTAAGTTATCTAAAAGTTCTCAGAACGTCAACGGAAGAAGCAACCTGACTCAGGGGGGCGGGCTAGGCGTCCTTCTTCCCCAGGAGGACTTGGTGCAGCTCGTCCGCGTCCTCGCTGGTTTTGACCCGGATCAGCATGGTCACGGGGGCGGCGGCGTTCTTCTCGTCCACCGGGGGGTTGGGCACGCAGACGATGAGCACGTTGTTCTTCCCGGTCCGGGTGCACGGCATGTTGGGTGGGATCAGGACGTTCAGCAATATGTTGCCTGCATTTAAGGAAACAAAAAAACACACAACCCAAATCATACAAACTGCAGCCCCATGAAACCAGAGCTCTCAGGCGCTGAACATGAAACATGCAGCCCCCTTGCACTCCATGGACGGAAACGGGCCGGTCCTGACCGAGGCCAGCATGGTGTCCCGAGAGGACCCCAAGGCCCCCAGCAGGACTGGCTCTGCCTGACTGTGGAGCAGCCGCCTCTCCCGCCCTCTGCCATGCGGCCATCCCGCCGGCCCGGCCACTGTCGCACTGAAGGACGGGCACACTGCCTGCCCCGAGCTCACTAAGTCATCGGAACACACAGCGGTCAGCGAAGAAACGCGTCCCCGGGGGCCGGCTCCCTGGGGAGTGGAGCACTGCCAGTCCCGACCCACAGCCCGGCTCACAGGAAGGGAAAGGCTGGCGGAGGCCTCCTCCAACCCGCCTGGGGCCCGCCCAGCCTCTTAGACCCCAGACCCCTCCAAAACCCCCTTTCTATGGACTGTTCTAAGGGCCCAGCTGGAGGGTGGGCTAAGGGGAGTGCATTTTGATTATTTGCTACATAGGAGGACTCCTTTAAATGATTGATTCCCCTTGTGTGTCTATCATTAAACCATCCAATTCACCTCCAGCTTCTTAGTCACGTCTCTAACAAAGGAGCAGCCCGCAGACCATTTTGTTAATGTCTTGCTCTAGCAGTGGTTCTCAACCTTCCTAACGCCGCGACCCTTTAATTCAGTTCCTCATGTTGTGGTGACCCCCAACCATAAAACTAGTTTTGTTGCTACTTCATAACTACAATTTTGCTACTGTTATGAATCATCATGTAAATATCTGATATGCAGGGTGTACTTTCATTGTTACAAATTGAACATAATTAAAGCATAGTGATTAATCACAAAAACAGTATGTAATTATATATGTGTTTTCCGATGGTCTTAGGCGACCCCTGTGAAAGGGTCGTTCGACCCCGAAAGGGGTCGCGACCCACAGGTTGAGAACCGCTGTGCTATAGCTCTTAGCAGTGCATGTTCTTACACACTATCCCCCAGGACTCAAATCAATCCGCAAGAACCGCTAAGTCCAGGATGGATCTGGCCTGAACGGTCTCCTCTGCTCCCAATCCCACATCAATGGACTTGAAAATCCCAAAGACTGAGCCGAGCAAGTGAAGGGCTTCGCCACGGGGCCACGGGATGGTGCCGATGCGGTGCCGCCTGGGAGAAAGGGCACCCACCTAAGTTGGTGTCTGCCCGCACCAACAGCTGTGTCTTCTGATTCGCTGTAGGTTTTAAATGCAGAGTACCTACACCCTTCTCTTTAAATTCATTGTCTTTCTTGTAAAAAAGTTTACACCTACGGAGAAACACAATAGGTACAGTCAGACAAACAATGCCAAATCAAGTCTGTTTCTAACAACTGCTATTCATACTTGTGTGGAAAATCTCTATGGAATGAGCAGAGGAAGCTTCAAGACCCATCTTTTGTGGACGCCGACTGGGTCTGGGCACGAGCCAGAACAGGAACGCCTGGTTAGATATTCAAGAGCCCTTCCCACTATTTTTCCAAATTATTACATAACTTTCTGAAACTACCCTTTCTCAAGACAATCAAAATCACGGCCATCTGGTCTTCCAAGGACAAGAACAAATAAGAGAAAAGCCCTGGCTGGTTTGGCTCAGTGGATAGAGAGAGCATCAGCCCACGGACTGAAGGGTCCCAGGTTGCAGGCTTGATCCCCAGCCCTGGTCAGGGTGAGCGTGGGAGGCAACCAATCAATATGTCTCTCTCTCACATTGATGTTTCTCTCTCTGTCTCTCCCCCTCCCTTCTATTCTCTCTAAAAATCAATGGAAAAATATCCTCCGGTGAGGATTAACTTAAAAAAAGAAAACAACAGCAAAACAGAACAAACACTACCCACAGCCCTCCCCTTTTTTCCTTTCTTATTTCTGAATTCGGGACTCCAACAATTTTTTATCTCTCTAACTACTGACAACGCAGTAAAACATCTCCTAGAAGTCTGAGTCACACAGCGCCTTAGGTTATCAATAAACAAACCAAAACCACTGCTCCTCTGATTTGCTCAGATTAGGAAAAAAACTGACGACGCCTTTCAGTCATCTGTGTAAATTAATCTTAAAAACAGGCAAAAGGAATTGTTGCCTCTTTTAGAAGTTCTCAGCAGTAGTTAACACTTGGGAATCTCAGAGGACATGGTGATTTTTTGTTATGAAAATGCTGATTCATTAGGCTGAACTTTTTCTATTAGAAAAATACCTCTAGGGAAGCTTCTAAAATGGCAAAAATATTTTTCAGTAAATATCTCTTAAAAGTACTAATTTCATTTCGTTGAGAGTTAACTCAAAACCCCCTTCTGCTTTCTTCTAAAAGCTGCAGCTTTCATGTCAAAGCAAAAGCAGGTGGAATATGCGGTGATGGAGGCGTGTGACTTTGGGTGGTGAACACGGTGCAATTCACAGACGATGTGTCACAGTTTCACTGACACCTCTATAATTCTATTAACCAATGTCACCCCAATAAATGTAAAAACAAAGCAGCCCCGACAGCAGGGAAGACAGTGTTCACACAGCCTTCATGGAAGGGGCTGGGCAGACCTGCGAGAGAATCCACGAAGGCCAGCAAGTCTCCAGGACAGATCAGAGAGCAGAAGTAGCACTGAACCCCAGTCAGTGCCTGGTGACTTCCTGGTGGGGGATGGAGGAGGGGAGGGGCAGGGAGGAGAGAAAGGGGAGAGGAAGTAGCCCAGGGGGGCAGGAAGGCCCTCTTTACAGCACATTGAAGTTGAAGCAGAAGGGCTGGATCGGCAGGAGAGAAGGCTGTGCCCAGAGAAAATGTCTAGAACCTGTTTGTTTTTAAATAAACGGGCCGAGAATTCTTCCTCGCTCCAGTTCAAGGAGTGGGCACAGCCTGGCACAGTAAATTCTGGGACAATGTCAGAAGAAATGTCAGAAGCCTCCGTTCAGTCTCTGAAAACCTTCACCAAGTGGATTCCTCGGCTCCGACTCTTACTTACTTTTTGGAGTAAAAAGCATCTTCTTCTTTGACCTCAGTAACTACTACTTTGGGCGGCTCATCATTTTCTTCTTCATCTCCACCTTTCATAAAAACAACACGAACTCAGTAAGATTCAAATCAAGAGCTTAATAATGTGATAAAAGAAGTTCGTTACCTACCCCCCGCCCCTTTCACCTAAAATTCCACGTAAGCTGGTATCAAATTGTGTGTGTGCACCCACTGGGTTTTTATTATTTTGTGAAAAACGAGAACAATTTTTAATGGGAACATACTTCTCTAGTCTAAAGCAACTGTCAATTTGTAGAAAGCCCTGGAATGAAAAAATGTCCTTGCTTATGATGCAGTGCATATGCAAACTTTTACAGAAAAGAAAAAAATCAAACGTGTGACAGAGTAAAGTGCTGGGCCTCTGACTCCCCTGTCCAACCTGCTGTTCCCAGAGCCTGCAGGCCAATGCCTTCTCTCTCAGAGACGGCGAATCCTTAGAGTTCTGCTTGCCCCTGACCAGGAAGTGCCTCTCCCGGACGCGGGAGCACATGCTGGTTACCAAAGATGTGCAGGAACCTCTAACAGACTCACATCAACAGGGTCAACAGAGGGAGCAGTCTTCCTCGGACCCCTGTGGCCTGGGGTCCATCACTCTTGCCCTCCCTCCTCCCCTTCCCTTCACATAAAAAAGCCTGAATTTTGTCCTTCCTTAAGATGGATTTGAGGTTATCTCCCATCTTCTCAGTTGGCACCTTCCTGATCAATAAAACTTTCCTTCAAATTGTGATGTGTGAAGCCTTGGGCACACAGACAGGTAATAGACACTTATGAATACACTCAGATCAGCACTGGAACATTAAAATCTCAGCTATGCTTCTAACACTTTCACCCCCAAATGTCCCCGTGACCACACCTGCATCATGCCAAGGAACAAACATCATCAACCAGAGGGAAAATAAGCAAAGTTGTCAGAGAAATCACTCCAAAGCCAAGTGTAAGTAACTTGAGCTTTGTCTGAATCACATGCCTCCCGTGTTCTGGCCCCCGCCCCGCCCCCACCCCCACCCCCACCCCCACCCCCACCCCCATCCCCCGCCCCCGCCCTGCAGGAGCCAGAACAGGGCTTCCTTTCACTCCAGCCCCAACACAGGGGAGATCAAAGACAGGGCAACAGAGGCAAATGCCCATCCTCTTAAAGAGAAAGGCACTCCCATAAAACCCCTAAACTAAGAGGCGGCTCTAAGAGAAACAATTCTGGTGCCCAAACAATGGACTGTGGACAAAAAGGGGCAGACACCACACACAGACGTCCTGGAAGGCGGTGCAACCCAGACATGTCTTGGAGAGACTTCGCCCATTTGTTCCCCTGACTTATGAAGTCTCCCTGTTAAATTTACAGCCCTGCTTTGCTATGTGACTTTACTTATAACCAAATCTCCTAAATACAAACAATTCAGTGGACATTCATGATAAACTCTCAATAAAATACAATTTTTCAAACGTTAATTCACTTAATTCTTTACATACAAGCCATGTATTCGATACTTTTCAAAATCACTGTGCCAGAAAATCTCATATTCTTAATCTTTATATCCTTAATCCTCACAATAACCCTACTGAGAGACCAGTCGGGAGCCGAAAACCAGGAAAACCAGGATTACAGGCTTTATTAAGGGAAAAAGACCTGCCAGGCTGTCTAGCAAGGGGAGAACAGCAACCCGTGCAGAGGTGAGCGCGCCTTTTGAGGGGAGGATGGGAAGGAATGGGGGTTAGTGCGCTCAGCGCGCGCTGATTGGTGGCTTAATGTATAGTCCAGCCGTGGGCAAACTATGGCCCGTTTGAAATGAATAAAACTAAAAAAAAAAAGACCGTACCCTTTTATGTAATGATGTTTACTTTGAATTTATATTAGTTCACACAAACACTCCATCCATGCTTTTGTTCCCGCCCTCCGGTCCAGTTTAAGAACCCATTGTGGCCCTCGAGTCAAAAAGTTTGCCCACCCCTGGTATAGTCCATATAGGAACAAGGGCTTAGGGCAGTGGTTCTCAACCTTCCTAACGCCGCGGCCCTTTAATACAGCTCCTCATGTTGTGGTGACCCCCAATCATAAAATTATCTTCGTTGCTACTTCATAACTGTAATGTCGCTACTGTTATGAATCGTCATGTAAATATCTGACATGCAGGATGTATTTTCATTGTGACAAATGGAACATAATTAAAGCACAGTGATTAACCACAAAAACAGTATGTAATGATCTATGTGTTTTCCGATGGGCGACCCCTGTGAAAGGGTGGTTCGACCCCCAAAGGGGTCTCGGCCCACCGGTTGATTAGGGTGTGGCAGGTGCGGACCGGTGGCTCAGTGTGCAGTCCATAGAAGGTACCTGGTGTCACTCAGGTATTTCCCGGCTGCAGATGACGTCACACTCAGCCCACCGGTTGGGGGAGGGGAGGACCTATCGCCTACAACACAGACTTGACTCCATTTTGCAAATAAGGAAGCGGAGACTCAGAGGCTCGCCAGCCTGTCCTGGATCACGCGGCTCGGAAATGATGGCGGCCCGTCTCTGCTTCTTCCACTAAACACAAACCTCCACAGACCACAACCGGACTGAAGGATAAACACCCCACTCACCTTTGCAGCCGGCACTGCCGCCCCCGGCCAGGCCCTCCGGTGCTGGCACGGAGAATGGTGAAGGAACGGGCTTACTCTGGGTAATGTCTTTGCCAAATAAACTGGAGTTTCCAGAAGGAAATGAAAACCCAGCCAGGGGGCCAGAGTTTAAGGAGCCCAAAACAGAACCATCAATTTTCTTGCCGAAATTAAACGAGGCACTTGTCGCTCCTAGTGATGGGTCCCCCTTTTTCTCAGGCACAGCCTCTGTCTTCTTTTCAGAGGTGCCCGAAGTTTTATCCCCATGAAACAAAAATGTTGACTCTTGCTGTGACTTTGTTGAACCAAACAGGGAGGGAGACTGTGAGTCGAGGGACATTTTGCTGGGTTTCCTTTCGGAGCCGCCGCTCCCGCTGTCACCAAGCTGCTGCTCAATGCCCGCTAAGTAGTTCTCATAGTCTTTAAAGACCGGCGTCAGGTCGCACAGCGGGTTCGCGTTCACATGCTTCACGATCCAGTCCCGCACACAGCAGTTCAAGGCCGCCAGCTGCTTGTGGTAGGCGTTCCCTTGGTGAGTGGTGCTCGAGGAAAGACCAGAGGACTGACTGTCACCATTCCTTTTGGGGTTTGAAATCTTATTATCAACCAAGGAGGCGGGGCCATTTGCAGCAACAGATCCTAAGGGAAAGTCAAGCTTTAAGATTTATTTAGAAGGTGATTTGACTAAATCATCTAGATTTCTGTATTGCTCTTCGTATTTTCTGCCTTTATTGCATCCCATTTTTGTGACAGTTCAAGTATGTGCACATCTAACATTTAGGATCTGGTTACCACAAAAATCAAATCAAACTCTACACAGGAACAGTATCTATTATATGCTCACATCAGTAATTTTAAAATAATCTTTTCCTTCAAAAAGATGCCCATTTTACCCAGAACTGTCAAAATACTCTGAGTACAAAACTTAATCCCCAAGGCTGTAGGAATGAACATCATTAATGCAGTTAAAATCTTAACAGAAAGTTAATGTTATTTTAATCACACTAAACATTCTGCCTCATTAAAACGGAAACTTTCAGAATAACTAGCTAAAACAATCCAACGAGTGGGGCTTTTCCAAGAACTCAAGCTTTTAATCCATGATCTTATTCTCTATTGCTAATCCCGAGATCGTAACTAATTCCCTCAAAACAAGATCGGACAACCAACACATCCTAAATCTAGAGGGGAGGACCCCCAAGTTTCGGGAGGTGTGTGCCACACAAAGTCTTTGGAACACGTATTATCGAAGGCGGGATGGGGAGACAGGCCTTTACAGAGGCCCGCTAAGAGCTTCCTCTCCTCCTTTGACCCTTAGGTCAATTCTCATCACTCATTCTCATTTCAGTTAAACATCCCGAGGCTCGGAGGTTAAGGAACTTCACGAAGGGTGAAGAGCTGATAACTGGCAGAGCTGAGAACAGAACCTAGTTATATTTTAGCTCAAAAGCTCATTCTCTACTCAGAACGCAAATAGCCAACATTTCCCTCATTTCTGTGTGTTTCATTATGACCGTTCTTGCTCATGTAGTTCCAGGACCAGGGTAAGTACAAGAAAAACATCTCTGCGAAGTGATGTTCATGGTTATCTTACACAGATGTGAGTGAGTGAGGGGGACCTACTTACCAAAGGCCACCTTGGTCTCGGTGGCAGCTCTCGCACTGAAGAGTGGGGCACCTGTCATGCTGTTTCCATTGGACAGTCCTTCCAAAGGCTTCCCTCCAACACAAGCACCGAATCCAGAAAACCCTCCTCCTCCAGAAGGTGCCACCAGCCCTTTAAAGCCTTTAAAGGCCCCTCCACCATCAGACTGAAATAGAAAGAAAGAGCATAGATAACTGTAATTTTTATAAGCGGTAAGCGAGTGAGTGGCAGTATTACCTTGGCTAAATCATGCAACCTCCACTATAGGAAGACTGCTGGCAAGAGCAGAATCAGGACAGGAGCGATTTTACTCATGACAGCTGCGCAAACCAGAGCTCCGTCCCCCTCATAAGCTCTTCTCACCCCCGCGGCGTCAGCCTCCGGACGGCCGATTCCTCCTGCCTCTCCCTCTCGCTCCACTCCTGCTCTGAGAAGCCGCCAGTCTACCTAGTGGCTTGTAGAGTTCTCCACACCACCCTTAAGGACATTTCCAAAACGAATGCCATCATTTCCTTCCTAGTGAGGTTGGCCCTTTCCCCATCAAACATCACCTGGCTGATCGCCTACAGCCAACTAAACACCAGCCTAAAGAACGAGAGGAAACGAGGAAAGAACGTGGAACGGACAGAGCCGCCGCCACAGAGGCAAAGCTCCTCCCGCAGCTGCCACCGGCGTGTTCAAACCCCCTCCCGGCCTGACCCAGAGGCCCGGTCTGGAATGCATGAGGGCTGCGCAGTCCCGGGAAAAGGTGGAGTGACTGCCGAACCCTGACCATGTGACTGCAGTTTCTGAGCTACATACAGCTCCTCCTTGATCTTCCGAGCACAGGAAGGAAGCATTTTTTTTTTAATATATTTTATTGATTTTTTTACAGAGAGGAAGGGAGAGAGATAGAGTTAGAAACATCGATGAGAGAGAAACATCGATCAGCCGCCTCCTGCACATCTCCTACTGGGGATGTGCCCGCAACCCAGGTACATGCCCTTGACCGGAATCGAACCTGGGACCTTTCAGTCCGCAGGCTGATGCTCCATCCACTGAGTCAAACCGGTTTCAGCAGGAAGGAAGCATTTTAATGCGCGACACAGTGGACACGGGAAAGACTCTGTGACGGTTAAAGGACTCCTCCAACCCACACCTGGACCCCAGGCAGTAGGGAGACTGAGAATTCCTTCTTGTCCTTCCTCACTGCTACTGACACGCACTTCTCTGGTCTTCCGTGTTGCTGTCCTCATTTCCTCCTCCACAGTGGCACCCAACTCTAATTTCTCTGCATCTGTATCGCTTCCGCAGTGGGAGCTCCCTGTAAGCACACCCCCCCTGTGCTCATTGTTCTGTATGTTCTACACCAGCGGTCGCCAACCGGTGGTCCGTGAGGGCCGAAAGGCTGGCGACCACTGTTCTACACCAAGCGCTTTCCCAAGCGGAGAAAGCACTTTATGAGCACTTACCGATCTGACTGTCCCCTCCCCCGCCCCACAGAAAGCTGCAGAAATCACTCACTTCACATCCAACATTTCTACGCTTTGCTTTCTTTATGGCTCTATTCTTCAAGACTTCCTCACTGGCCACTGAGAATGTTCCCACCTGCAGGAGTACACAAATTAAACAGCAGTAAGATAAGGTCAAAATGGAGATAAAATGCTGAATGAAAAAGCTAGACCAGGCAAACTCATCTATTATCTGCTAGTTTTCAAAGTACTGTTAATCCTCGTAATACAAATTATAGAGAGGGCACATTAAAATTCATATCCACGCTCTATCTTGGTGAATTGCAATGCTAGTCAGGTGGACCACCAGTCTTCTGGAGCATACAAATCCAAGACTTGGATCAAAGAGAGAGGAGTGCGTGCACGAAAGTCTGACAAGGCTAAGGCCACCAAAACTTTGGTGCAAAACTACTTAGCACAGCTTTCAAATATTTCAAATACATTCAAAGGTATTAATCAAACTTAAGCTGGAAGGCACCTTAAAGATCATGAACCGCTGGGAGGGGAACAAGTTCTGAAACCCAGGTGCCCAAATCTAGTCTCTTACTACTACCGTTTTCAAAAGTAAAACTGTATTTATGAAACACATAATTATTACTTTTACAAAGAGCTCTGCCCATTTGCCCTTCATCCAAGAGACCACGGAGGCACTGGGACTCTGGGTGACTACTACTGCTAAACCCCAAGCACTAGGTCCACAGCGAGGAGCGTGCCGAGCCTGGCTTGGCCATGCCCGTTGTTCCCCATACGGCTGGCGTACGTATTCCCTGTAAAAACTTCCGTCCCCAGCTATTTCAGGAAATGTCAGAGGTCTCTGCAGCCACAGAAGGGATCATTTAGTTGCATTTGCCCAAACGTAACTGTCTTTCCACATTCATTCATTAGCAACTATCCAAAGGGGAGTTCTTTCATTCCTGAAGTATCTTAATGTCAAAGCAATCTTTATATGGTAGTCTAAAACTTACTGGGCTCAGAATGTAGCTGTAAGACTTGGGAAAAAATACAGTTACCCAAGTCTTGGCGAAAAAGCATGATGGCAGCTAGAAATGTTAAAAGCCTTGTTAAAATATTAACATGCCTGTGATTTTGACTTTCCTAACCATATTGGTACAAACATTTGTAAAGGAAAAATATTAATACTAGGATATAGACTCAGAAAGATAGCCATTTATAATAATAAAAGGGTAATATGCTAACTAGACCTATGTCATTCTGGACCTCATTCTGCATGCCCTTCCTGACAAAGCTGGGGACGGAGGGAAGCCAGCTGGGTCCCAGGTGACTGGGGGCGGCCCAAGGGAAGCCAGCCCGGGTCCAGGTGCCAGAGGGAAGCTGGTGCCAGCAGCCAGCCGAGGGAAGAAAGGTGTCCTCTTGCACGAATTTTCGTGCATCGGGCCTCTAGTCTAAGAGTAAGCTTGAAGACACCTGCAGATTCTTTATTTTATTTTATTTTACTTGACATTATCCTCTTAGCTTGGGTGCCGGTTCCTTGGTGAACCGGCCTGGGTGTCCCACACTGCTGATGAAGCACCCAAAAAAACAAAAAGATTTCCTCAGGGAAGGCCATTCTGATTTTGTTAGGAAAGAAACTGGGCCAATATAAACTCTATTTCCATTAATGCCATTGTTGGGGGGAGGGGGGAGCACCTCAGATGTGTAAGAAGGAGAAATGAAGCTGGGCTTTGAGAAGATTAGAGTGGGGGAGGGGAACTCAACCATCTGAATCTGAAATGACAGGGACGGCAGACCAAGATGGCGGTGGTGTCCACTGTCAGGTCTGAGCGTGGCACTGCACTAAGTTCGTGACTCGATCATTTACTCATCCTTCAGCTTTGATTAAAACCACGGGCTCAGAATGCTGCAAGTGTATGAAATTCAGGAGGAAGGTGCTTCTACAGGGGGCCCAATATTCAGGAACTAGGTGCTGGTGGAAATAAATGTCTCTATTAAGTACCGGTCACTAGAAACCACACTATTTCCCGGGCAGGATGGTCTTCAAAAGCCTTTTCATTTTCCCGGTCTTCATGAGGAGCCCCGTTTAGATTGAGAAGCAGTACAAAATCACGCAGGAAAACCACTTTTTACCTCTTCGGCTTCGTCTTCTTGATCCCAATTCCGATCTGTCAGCTCCTTCTCAGCAATTCTCTTGGCCATTTTTTCGAAGCTAAAAGTAAAAAGATTAGAAGATTTGCTTTTCTAGACCAAGAGTTCACTCTTACAAAGAATTTTCAAAATTCACTCTAGCATGAAATGAGACAGGAAACATTCCCCTGGGAACGGCTTTAACGGGACTTTACAAAGGTGCTCTTAGGTTCCCACTGTTTCAAATCCAATATAGGATTCCTCGAGGAAGCAGGGTAGGTCTTCTGAACACTAAAACAACTCTACTGGAAAGAAAGTTATATGCAACCTCAACTGATTGTTTAAAACTGAAATTTTAAGCACTACACATAAGAAGTGCTTAACTAACTTATTCTATGCAAATTATACTTACAGCCCTGCTACAAAATATTTTAAATATTTAAAATTCTCTTCAAGATGATCCAGTGAAGTTCATGTTTAGGTAGGAATTTTAATAAGATGTTGGTCATAAGTTCATAGCATAAGTCCTCTTGTTTAGGCTACAGACATTGGTATAAATACATTTCCCAAGATTGAACATTTAATTACCCCAAATTACATACTGCTAAAATAGGACATCATTTAAAAGCTCAAACTGTAATTAATATGGATGTGTTAACATTCTGAGAATTTATAACCCTTTCAAAGTAAGCCATGAGCTCAGTTCCTATGACACCATTGCGGGGTGGGGCAGGGCAGGGTGCGAGGCGGGGACTGACAGTGTTATCGCGAAAGAGGGTTGCTGGCACCTGTCCCTTTGTCATTTGTTTTTTGATCCTACATCACATCCTCTGCCATCAGAAACAAAAACCAGCAATGGAGGGCTCCACTGTGAGTGGCATAACTCACCAGCCCACGGGGCCAAGAAACCGTCGCCCAGGAACTAACCATTCGCTGAGGGCTCCGGAACCTGCCCACAGCCTTTCTGACAGTCTCTCTCCACCCTGGTTTGCCCTCAATACCACAACCCCCCAGTAAGTTCCTAGGAGTTCATGTTCACTAGGATACAAACTTATGCATCACCTACTGCTCTTTAATGCCTACAAAATAAACATCACTTGCTTGCTGACATTCCAAAGTCCTCCAAAATCCACCCCCGTAATTACATAGGGGGTTTTCAGCTTCGAATAACATCCTAATAATGTTTGAATCCCCTTTTGAATGTCTCCCCGCAAACACTTGGTCAAGTCTGGCCACTAATTTTTGTAATCCAAACAAAAACAATGTAGCTTTACACATAATTCCTTACTGAACTTGACTTTGACTGTCCAGGGCCAGGTCTCTTTGCCTGCATTCTTTTGGCCATTTTGCTGCTCAATAACTCCCACTCCCACTCCCACCAGAGGGCAGGAGAGGTGTTGCTATTAAGATGAACTATTAACTGTTAATAAGATATTAAAAGGAAAGGGGGTGGAGCTGAAAGTACAGAAACTGTAATAAAGTAAGAATTTAACCTCTAACTCATACCCACAGTGGACAGTCATAAGGCGCAGCAAAACAATCTAAAAGTAGCTGCTCTCATGTCCTACCGCAGTCACGTGAGGACCCCACCAGAGGGCAGGGGGCGCTGTTCTGTGTGCTGGTTGAACGCCAAACACCCAAGCCTGCCCATCCCTGACAGGTGTGCTAGCTGCTGAGTGGGTGACCTGGGACACTCCTATTTGGGAAATGCTACAGTAAGAAGCTGGAAACCCAGGTTTCCCATTTCCTTGGACAAGCTGTTTCGTTTTTGTGCCTCCGTTTTTCACATGTAGAACAGGGAGGTATGAAAACAAAGTGAGATAAACAAAAAACAAACTTAGTTAAGAATAATGCCTGGAACAGAGGAAGGCTTAATAAATACCATTAAAGAAATAAGTTTTGTTAGAAGCAAAGGCTATAAAATACTATTCTTCCTCCAAAACGTGAAAGTTCCTTGGAAAAAGAGTATTTCCTTGAATTATGAGCCAAGCTTTAAAATACATTTTAACCAGCCCATATTCTGTTTCAAAGTATGACCCTGGAGACAGTAATTTTTCTTTGTGCAAGATGAGGAATACAGCATCCCTGCAGAGTCCCGGAGCGAGGCCGGGCACCCAGAGCCCGAGGCGCTAGCGATCAGCCTAAGGAACTCCAAAGCGCCCGGGCTTGTGGCGAAAAGGCCCCACGTGAGGCAATGAGGCCCAGGAAGCGCTGCGATGGGAACTGAAACCCAGCGCTGCCTGGGGGACACGCGGCCTCCCCATCCGGGCTGCCGGCCCCGGGGGAACTCTGTCCGCATCAGTTCACCCCAAGGGGAAAACAGGCTGGACCCCACTTGGAAGGGTGGTGTCCGGAGGAAAAAGAGGACAAGCGTCAGGCCGGTGACGGGACGCCCGCGGGAGAGGGACCGCCCTCCTCCCCGCCCGCGGGCTGCGCTTCCATCCCGCTCAGGGCACAGCAGCAGCCACAGCTGATCGAAAAAAGGCATAAACAAGGGGGAGGGGGGCATACGTAATACTTTCGACACTAAAGATTGTTTTTTTAAAAAAAAGGAGACAGGCCCTAGCCAGTTTGACTCAGTGGATAGAGCGTCAGCCTGCGGACTGAAGGGTCCCAGGTTCGAGTCCGGCCAAGGGCACATGCCTGGCTTGATCCCCAGTAGGGTGTGCAGGAGGCAGCCAATCAATGATTCTCTTATCATTGATGTTTGCATCTCTCTCTCCCTCTTCCTTTCTCTCTGAAATAAAGAAATATATTTTTTTAAAAAAAGGAGACAGGTTGGCAAAAAAAAAAGTGGATAACAATCGATGCCTTTTTCTTTCTCCCTCCCTCTCTCTCGCCCTAAAAATCTTTAAAGAAGGAACAGAGTAACGGGCTGATCAGTGTCCCGGCACCGCGGTGAGAAGGGAAGCCAGCGCCCAGCCCGGGTCGCTCGGTGGCGGAGCGGCGACCTGCGAGCCTGGAGGTCACGGTGCGATCCCGGTCAGGGCGCAGGCCTGGGCGACGGGCTCCAGCCGATCGATTTTTTTTCTCTCACCATTTATGCTTCTAGCACTCTCCCTCCCTCCCTTTCTGAAATCAATAAAAATATTTTTAAAAAAGGGGGGGGGGGATCTAGGCCAGAGAGAGAGCGGAGGGGCGAGAAGAGACAGGCGGGACGACCGAGAGGCCAGAAGTACCGAGAGGAGCCGCTGGGAAGGAAACCGGAGGCCTCGCCGGGCCAGCCCTGCCCCCTCCGGCCGCCGGCCTCCGCCGGGCCCAGCCGCACCTAAGGCGGCCCCGAGCGCCGCTTCACAAACAGCCGCGGTGGCGTGGCCGCTGTCACCGCCCCGCCCCCGCGGCACCCACCGCCGCGCGCCCCTCCCCGGCCTGGGACCTGCACCCCCGCTCCTCCTGCCCAGGACCCCCCTCCGGGCCCGGGCCCCACCCGCCGATCCGGCTCCTCCGGCCCAGGGTCCCCTTCCAGGCCCGCACCCCGTACCCCGATCCCGCGGCTCCTCCCCGGGTCCCACAGGCCGGTGCGGCTCCGCGTCCCCAGGCCCCGGCGCCCGGCCCCTCCGCCTCCCCCGCTGCCCAGCCTCTCACCTCCGGGGCGGCGGCCGCGGGACTCGCTGGGCGGTGGGCGCGGCGAAGCTCGGGTGCGCGGCGGCGAGCAGGGCCGAGGTCGCGGCCGCGGCGCTCGGGTCTGCAGCGGCGGCCGGTCACCGGCTGAGCGCACCTGGCCGCTTCCGGGGCGCGGAGATTCTCGAAGGACTCGGAGAAGAGCAGGCCCGGAGCCTCACACAACATGTCCCCCGGGGCTCGTCTGTCTGTGCTCGGCAGCGAGGGGAGCGTCCCCTCAGCCGGAGACCGCCGGGGGGACAGCGCCGAGCGCGCCCCAGGCCGCCATTTTCTAACTCCAATCCGCCTCTCAAACCCAATTCGAAAAGAGGGAGGAAAGAAACGCCCGCGTCCGGCGATTGCGCAAGCGCACGGGAGCCCAGCTCAGCGGGCCCTGACTCGACGGGCAGCGGGGCGGCGCGCGGCGCATGCGCCCAGAGGCTTGGAAACCGTCGCCGGGAGGAGCGTCCATGTCTCACGCATGCGCGCGCCGGCCTCAGCTGGGGAGCCGGCGCCCGGGGCCGGAGCGGACGCACGTTGGTCACGTGGCGGCCGAGGCGCGCGTTGGAGGCGTTCGCGCGGCCCCTGCGGCTGCGCAATCGCGGGTGGGACTTGCGAGGCGCTCTGGAGACCCCGGTCAATCAGTGAGCGTGGCCGAGACCCGCGGCCCGCGGCCGGGAAACGTGAGTGGGACTGAGTTAGCGTCTGGTCGGAGCTCGGCGCCGCCCAGGGCTGCCGCGGTGACCCTGCCCTGTGGTCGGCGCCCCGCCCCGTGGCCCCCGCGACGGGCCTGGCTGCGGAGCCCCCGCACCCCCGAGGCCTGGCCGCCGAGCCAGGAGGGCCGCCTCGGTGGTGCTGGAGGGGAAACGAGCCCGCTGGCCGCACAGTGTGTGTGTGTTTCCCGTGCTGGGTGCCCTGCGGGCGATGACACTCCCCGAATGCGCTGCGCCAGGAAGTGAAGTCTGTGGACGCGACTCTGACTGTGGACGGGCGCACGTGGCCGGCGTCGGGGCTGCGACCTCCTGTTTCCGTCTTGCTCTGCAGCGCAGCGCGTCCAGCAGCGGGCTATGCTGCAAAGTGCACATCAGTTTTGCCCAGTTCTTCTTGTCGCCTCACAGTGAATAAATCTTGTGGGTTTTTGTTGCTGTTCATCCGCACGGGCGGTGTTTTCCCGCTGATGGTTAGGCAGCGTGGCAGAGAGAGGGGGAGACAGGAGCACCTCGTTGGCTGCTTCCTGCATGGGGCCCTGGGCTGGGGCAGGGGCAGGGGGAGAGCCTGCAACCAAGGTAGAGCCCTTGACCAGCACCGAACCGGGACCCTTTGGTCCACAGGCCGACGCTCTAGCCACTGAGCCAAACCAGCAAGGGCAGTGGTTGGCAAACCGCGGCTCGCGAGCCACATGCGGCTCTTTGGCCCCTTGAGCGTGGCTCTTGCACCAAATCGCACGTGCGGGCGCATGTACAGTGCAAAAGTTGACTTAAAACTTTAACGTTTGTGCCGAAACTGGTTTGGCTCAGTGGATAGAGCTTCGGCCTGCGGACTGAAAGGTCCCAGGTTCGATTCCGGTCAAGGGCATGTACCTGGGTTGCGGGCACATCCCCAGTGGGAGATGTGCAGGAGGCAGCTGATCGATGTTTCTCTCTCATCGATGTTTCTAACTCTCTATCTCTCTCCCTTCCTCTCTGTAAAACCTCAATAAAATATATATAAAAAAAAAAAAACTTTAACGTTTGTTAAGTTAATTTTAGGGAACGTTGTGGAGTGAAAGAAGATATAGTGTCAGGGATGGAGAAAGGTATGCTGAGATGGTTTGGACATACAGAGAGGATGGACGAAAGGAGATGGACGAAACAAGTATACAGACGAGTGTGGGTGGGAGAGTTGGAAGGGGTCGACCTCAGCGAACGTACCTCAATCAGATTGAGGACGTTTTTAGCAAGGGCCAGCTTAGGAGCACCCTAATTAAGTTAATAACAATGTGCCTACCTATAGAATTTAAGTTTAAAAAATCTGGCTCTCAAAAGAAAGTTCAATCGTTGTACTGTTGATGTTTGGCTCTGTTGACTAATGAGTTTGCCGACCACTAAGCTAGGGCCACAGTGGAAGAAGCTTAACCATCAGACGCTGCGGGAGTTGGGCCCGTTTTTCACTCATTAGAAAACGTGCTTCGGAAAGGGGACATTCTCAGAGCAGTGGTTCTCACAGTTGGCAAAGGGGTTTTTATGGGTATACTTGAACATGCAAAAAAAAGGTTAGTGTATGCAGGAAGCCAGTCCATCCTTGCTGCTTGACACAGTCGCTGCAGGGAGGGAAGAAACATCTGCACAGCATATGTTTCAAGGGACCTGGCGTATATGGCATACTGTTCTTAATATGTTTGCTCCCCTACTTAGCGCTATGTGTTTTAACCAAGGTCACCTCTTCGAGAAAGGTGGTTTCCCCAGGTGGGGATTTTTCCCTGGAGTTAGGGATTAACAGGACTAAGGAAGGGAATAAATCAGTAAAACCCCTTAACCAAGTGCCAGGCGGGTAGTTAGTCACTTTCACTACGAACAATCACACTTAAGCTACATAATCTTTATTTAGGATAATCTCCTTCAGTTACTTCCTTGTAGTTTAACAGAACAATAGAGTAGTGCCCTTGGAATGGAGATAACAAACATCCTAACCTTTGGAATAGAATGGATAGGATTAAAATCAACTGGTATAAATACAGATGTAACAGAATAAAGGGAGAACCTAGCTAGAGAACCTGGCTAGGCTGCTGATCAACTGAACGCTGTCTCCGTGCGTGTCATTTCTTCTTCGCCGACTCTGTCCACACCTTTGGGAACCCCTGGACCTGCTCGGGTTGGACCCCAACAAGTGCATATGTGCATATAGAAAACCAGTCTGCCTGTGATGTCAAGGTGTTTCTGAACACTCCTGGAAATCCTATCCACGGACCCCTGTGTGAGGGACTCCTAATCTAGACCCTGGGTTGAACAAAGGTATAAAGGTTCTAAAAAAAATAAAAGGTGGCCCCCACTCCGGATGTATGAGAAAAAGTCAGATTTATTTCCTGCCATTATGTTTACTTTCCCTAAGACCAGGAATCCAAAACATAGGTGTTTGTTCTTTTTCTTCGATAGGAGTGAAAAGCAAGCCTCTAGCTGGGCATTATACTAGGTGTTAGTGAAACATCCATCTTATATAAAAACTGCTGTTTGAAATTTTAACCCTGCTATTTGGCTTCTGTAAATGCTTGCTGGCTTAAATAATAAGGAAAATAAGACTACTCCTATTCCAGAGAAGCCATTAAACCTTCCCCGGATGAAGTTATCAGCCCTGGCGCCAGGCCAGGCCTTTGGCTGAGGTCTCAAAGCCCCAGCACATAGGGGCTCTTTAAGAACTTGCAAAGGGAACCAGAAAACCCCGTATTTGGGAGACAAAGAGGGTAAAATGGTATAAATACAGGAAACTTCCTGTGTGGCTTCGCCCAGAATTCTAGAGACATTTTTCTCTGGGCCCGTGCCGTTGCTTGGTTCTCCGGTTTTCTGTAACATTAGAATAATATGAACTGTGTGTATAACTAGTCAGAGAATGTTGGCTAACGGTGTATTGCAGAAAGACAGGTCTTTAGGGGCATGCTCGTCATTGTCTTTGTTTTTTTGTTTGTTTGTTTTGGGTTGTTTTTGTTGTTAATCCTCACCTGAGGTATTTTTCCATTAATTTTTAGAGAGAGGGAAAGACAGAGAGAAACATCAATGTGTGAGAAACACATCGATTGGTTGCCTCCTGCACGAGCCCCGACCAGGGCCCAGGCCAGGGAGCCCTTGACTGGAATCGAACGAAGCTTGGACCCTTTGGTCCACAGGCCGATGCTCCATCCACTGAGCCAGGCCAGCTAGGGCAGTGTCTTTGTTTTCATCAACAAAAAGAGGCCGTGGATGGAGTGGCTCGGCTGGTTGGACGTCATCCCATGCACTGAAAGGTCACCCGTTCCATTCCTGGTCAGGGCACACGCCCGGGTTTCTGGCTCGATCCCCTGTAAGGGGCATGCGGGAGGCAGCCAATGAATGTTTCTCATCTCCCTCTCTCTTCCTATCTAAAAAAAAAATCAACAAAAACATATTAAATAATAACAAAAACAAAAAAGAGCACCTATAATGCTATATGTGTAGCTTGCCAAAGCCATCTGATTGGTGAGTGGCCGAGCTGGAGCCAGAGCCCAGGGCTCACGTCCACCCCACTCCACATGCCCTTTCAACATTGAATGCCTGCTCCTGGGGACTCCACAGATTTTTGGCGGTGAGCTACAGGTGGCCCTTGGTCTCCTCTCGTGCCCCGTCAGCTTTTCCGTATGCCATAGTGACTAAATCCTTACCACCTACACCTTTCTAGCCACCGTTCTCAACGCCCAGCCTCACCTCTTGCTTCCCCATCCTTACCACATAATAGGCACTCAGCTAATTACCAAATGAACTAATTATGCTTTTTCTTTATCGATAGAAACATTATCCCCAATATTTCCCTTCTGACTAATAGCTTGTGGATCATTACATTTAGTTCTGTCTGTGTGAAGCTCATTCATCCCAAATTGTTTTCTAGTGCCTTATAAATGGGTAATTTTTGCTTTGAACATCAAAGTATAATTATTAGTCAACTTGCTGTTAATATTGTGAGTGAAAAGGGGCCTCATGCTAAACCTGACAGTCTCGGGGAGGTCTGCGTGACGGGCCCTGCACACTCAGAGACAGAAAGTAACCGCCCCGCATGGTGTGAACCTAAAACTCCTCACTAAAAGCCAGTCACGGCAGGTAGGCACAGCCTAAGCCGGTAGCTTCCTTGGCAAGGGACAGTCTTTACCTTTAGTGAACTTATTTATTGCCTTTTTGCATCTAAGATAACCTGCTGGTGGTCTTATCCAGCATCTAGAAGGGTTCAGGAATCTGGAGAAGGGGCTGCTGTAAATTAATCAAGAGTCCAGAGACGAAACATAATTTTGGAAGGCATTTTGGGGAGCCAGAGAAGACTTAGCTAAAGGAACCAAGTTCTCTTTTATTAACACAATTTGTCCTAAGGCAAGGTAGATAGACACATCAAAGGCCAGGGTTAGTATACAGAATCCATTGTCATATT